TTTTGCCTAGATATAGGCTTTAAAGGGTATAGTTATAAGCCAGCCAGTAAGTGTAATATTCACCAAACATTCACTGCAGTTGAATCAGTCGCTAATTGAAACCATATACATCAGGTAGCTACATCTGTAGTAAATGTTTTAATACACGTCACATTTACTGCTTTATGGCTACTACACTACAAATTTGCTAACTTAAGATATCCCAGATCTTTTAGAGATATATTGGAACACCTAAAGTTGTTTTTTTTTCATGGCTTAGAACAGGGAGTCAGATTCTGCATTGAGGAGCCATGTAAATCAACAGGAGTCCTTGTATACTAGTATACAGTTGCTTCAAATTTCTTTTACCGCTTTCATTTTTATATTTTGCAGAACACTCAGAAAGTAATACAGTAATACTCGTTCTTTTATTTTCACCCATAAAGAATTTACATTATCTGGATTATTTTTGATGTTGTGTGACTAGTTCTTTATCAACATCTTGTAGTAATTTTTTTAAACCACCTATTTGGCCTCAATCCTCTCTTTTATGGCTTTATTGTCTATGCAACAATTAGTGTTTAGCTTTATCCTTTCCCTTTGAATTCTCCAAGCTACGAAGAAGCCAGCTTGCCCTCTCCTATTATTTATGTTCGCTGTGTTTGCATAACAAATGAAAAGTCTTTGATGAGCAGAGCTTGGTGGAAATAGGCACATTGTGCATTTGTGGAACGGTTTCAGGTGTAATGTTTGTGTGCTTATTAGCTGTACTGTACACAGAGATCACAGTCTATACTATTGGGCTGCATTGTGTTCAGTGTGTGCATATTTCTCTCTATTGTTGTGATCTTTAGCAAAAAGTTTACTTATTAATTTGCTCTTGATCTATCAGGTCATTTAATATGAGGTTTTTGTCAACCAGACTCTACCGATATATCTGAGACATTAAAGTCACAATGATTTTAAGCTATTTCAAATGCTGATGAAATCACTTACAATGGATGCTGCTCTTTGATGTTTAAACATTTTAGTTTCCTGCAGAATCAGCTGGTCTCCTGAGCACTGGCCCTGATATCCTGTTTTAAGGTGCCCATACACCTTACAACCATCGCAAGTCTTTTGCCTTGCGATGGTTGTAAGCTAATTAAAAGCTTGTACGATCTGCCCATCTTCGACAGGCAGATCTTACTTGCGATCATCGAAAGCCCGCCCCGCTGAGGGGCGGGCTTCCGATGACCGCAATGCTGAACACCACAGTGCGCACACCGGCCCGTTCCGCAGTTGTCAAACAAGCACGCCGCTAACCCGCCGACAATCGTACGATTCTCGGTAGATTTTTCATGCTCCTTCGACAAAAGACGTGCGACCGTACAGTAGAAACGGTCGCACGCCTTTCATAACCTTGCTATTATCGTACGATCGCTGGATTTCCCGCGAATATCGTACGATAATCGCAAGGTGTATGGGCACCTTTTTAGAGTGACTCCTTTCTCAAGCATAGTGCTCGCCAGTCACCCTTGTGTGTGCTAGTAAACTGTGTGCGTCTCCACAAACACACAGACACAGCAAATCAAGCTACTTCCCTCACCCCAAACACCTCTCCTCTCTTCTCGCTCCAAGCTAGTAGATGAACAGTTGCTAAAATGTGCTCTGTCCTTTGTGATCTTGTACTGGACAGGAAGTTCAGGGAATCTGAGCTGAGAGACTTGGAAGCAGCTGTTCAGAAACATGATGATTCTAAGTGTTTGGGCAAAAATGTAAAGCAATGCATTGCTGGGCAATGTATATTTGTTTGATCTGGAATCATTATTAAAAAAAAGTTTGACAGTTTAATACTACTTTAAGATAGAAGCTGTGGTATTGTGTGGCAATCCCACTGTAGATTTGGGTGTTATGATCACCCAGGACCCCTCAGCCAGAGGGGCTGAGAGGTGTCAGGAAGCAAGGGTCGGTCTGCATTATGCTTGGGATCCTGGAACTGGGAGGTTTCAAGGTGTTTCGGGAATGAGATCTCCAGTCCTGGGTCCAGAGTTTCGCAGTGACCATCACCCAATGATTGCACAGGTGGGCACAGTCCTTAAAGAAAGGGTGCTGACTAGGGGAATTAGCTCCTGCTGGAAAATACGAACAGAGTCAGGAGGACTCCTCCAGAAGTCAAAAAGGAGTCAGGCTAGCTCCTACTGGGATAGGAACAGACGGTGTTCAGGAGTCAGAATTACTTCCCCAGAGTTTAGAGTGGAGTCAGGTGGTCTGTGTGCTGGAGGCACATGAAGACAGCCAGAGAGGCTGGGAGAGAACTGTTGAGGCTAGAAGAGCCATGAGCCTGAGGGGCCACAAGTCTTGCACAGCACTTCAAAGAGGACCAGTGGGTCAGAAGTGCTAGTGTTTGAATTGGAAGCCAGGAGGCTATACTTATTGTTGTTTGGAAGCCTTGCATGAATGTTATGCTGAACAACCCCTGTGAGGGTATCCAAGATGGATGTATGAACTTTCGTTTCAATAAAAGTGGGTTACCAAGCCCTTAAACAGAAGATATTGTGAGTAGACTGCATCCTTACAGTGCTCACCATATGTGCGAATATCCCCAAACATTACAAAGCATATGTGTAACAACACTTTTTTTTAAATCTTTTATCTGTAGTGAAAACATGCTAGAATTTCAGTAAGATATTTTTGTTTTCTGTGTAATATTTATAGTTGTGCTGTTTAGGCTGCAGCACTTTCATGATTACTGCTTGCATGGCATCCTCATTTAAGAACTTAAGGTGTATCCTAAGGCAAACTTTTTTGTTTTTATTAGTGGAGAAGGATTAGACCCTTGTCAGGTTTTTAAAGCTGTGTCTGTGGGGGAGATTCATCCATCTATTTTCCTTGGTGTCCATTGTCACTATGACAAAAAGTAAGGATAAATCAAAAACCTAGAGTTGCTGCTACCGCAGGATGAAAGGGTAAATCATCCAATGGGACAAATATTCAAGTGACAACAGTGTAATTTAGGAATCCCTTCACGTCATGGAGCTTACCTTTCATTTCCTGTAATGTCTCCATGACAGGAAATGAAGCAGGCTCTCCCCAACAGGAAACAGTATAAAATAGGTATTCCCCACACATTGGGGAGGTGGCCTCTCTTTTCCTGTATAGTCTCCTGGACAGGAAATAAAGCAAAATCTAGCCAAATACGAACTTCCCTTGCATCACAGAGCTTACCTCTTCTTGTTTCCTATAATGTTTCCTGAACAGGAAATGAAGGAAGATCTCCCTCCCAACAACAACCACAAAACAAAAAAAGAACATAAGGATTTGTAAAGATCTCAAAGTTCATAACTGTAAAATCAGTCTGAATAATTTGACTAGTTTAACCGCATAGTTCCCTTTTTTTTTAACTAGCAACTTCAGATGTTTGCCTAGAATAGGTAAACATCAGGATTACAAACCTGTAAAGGAGTTGTGTTTTTGGTAGGAAGGATGTATAAGCGATGAGTGGAGGCCTCTAAGTTCTTCTTTAATAATACAACTTTAAATGGTTTTCATTATATAAGCTGCTCTTATTACAAAACCAATAAAGGGCTTTCAAGAGGCTCCTATTTATTCTTCACTTTATTGTTTTGGCTTTATGAAGCAATACTTCAGGGATCCAGTGACAATAAAATGGCCTCTGGTGCAATCTATTGACTTCCAATGTTTATTATTGGGTATGTTTGTTTTTTGTTTTAAATGCCACAACTTGAAGACTTCAAAAGCCAGAAAATTGTTATGTTTAAATGAGCATAACTGTTTTCTTCTTGAATGATCTGAAATAATCATTTTTTTTGGTCTTGCCTTTGTGTAGTCTTTTGATCTTACATGTAATATGTGCACTTGGCTGATGTCTAAGCTTTGCATACCATGATCAGGAGGACATTAACACATACTATTGAATCTTGCTAGCTGAATGTAAATACCCCCAGAGCGTTGACCATATGTTGTATGATTATCTCTTGTCCAAATCAAGACCACATTGAGAGAGAACATGCTTTACATCCAATTTTGTAGACCCTTAAATGATTGACTTAAAATCCAGTTAAACTTCACCTTCCAAAAGCTTTGTTAGCCCATAAAAACGTATTACACTATGCAGTTTTATTCCCATTTGCTGGAGCATTCTAGTATAGTGCTGGCATTGTGTATTGCTGAACAACTTGGTACTTAAGCAACAAGAAATAATGTTAATTTGGACCAAATATGGTTTTGGCCGGCCACTTTACCCTCATTATTTGTTTATTTGTGAATCTTTTTAATGTTAGTGGAGAAAAAAACCCGCATGTAATCCAGTATTTTGTATAACTTGCTACACTGCACCATGGAATAGTGGTGTAACTTATTATAGAGCTGATGGCATGTTACATAACGTAACGCAAGTGTAGTGGTTGTTCCTAAGCTTCACAGCCAACATACTTGGCACATCTGTTTATTTTATTTTTGATAATGTTTAGTGGTCCCTTCTTGTACACTCATTGTAAGAAACAGCTGGACATTTGCCATATTATTTACATTGTCTGCCGTTCTGTTTGCACATGGGCCACCCTTTTATCTGATCAGAAAGAAATAATGAAACTTATGTGGGCAGCCATGGTGGCTTTGTTTACTACCCTCCCATTACAGTGCCATGTATTTGGCTTCAGTTTTTAGTAGATACACCATGTTTTTTTGTATGCCCCTCCAACATGCTGTTATGGGTTTTCTAGCACAAGCCAAACCAATCCAAAAATATTCTCTTGAGTTAATATGGTCCTGCCTCAAAGGTCAGATCTATGCAAGTACAGGAAATCGTTACCTGTAGTGGTTCAAATCTCTGCTTGGTCCACTTTGTATTTACACATGATGGCCCCTTTTTTACTTTCACAGTTTTTGGGTCAGCTGGCACTGAACGCAACACACGTATTGTGAATCCACCCTCAGCACTGTTAATGGCAAAACAATTGTATAATCATTTTGAATGATGTTTATTTTTCTAATGAAACTACCTTGTTTTTGTTTCATAGAGTTGGAGCGGACCGGAAAAGCTGCTGGCCCTGGATGAACTTATAGACAGTTGTGAACCAACTCAAGTAAAGCATATGATGCAAGTTATTGAGCCTCAGTTTCAGCGGGACTTTATTTCTTTACTGCCTAAAGAGGTGAGATTTGTCAGCTGTTGGAGGGTGCAGCTAGTTGTATAAACACAAGCCGCCCTCATCTGCCACCTTTAACTGCTGTTAAGCTAATTATGATATTCAGCAAAGTCACTTGTGCTTTGTTAATTGGTGCTTAAGAGCGATGCAAGCCGACACATGTTTGTGACTTAGCACAGTAATTCCATGATTAATGTGCGCTTATGAGTGAAAGCATTTTGACGATCATGGCAAGTCCAAAGTCTGGTTTGAAGATACACTGTGCAATTTTTTTGACACCGATTCTACGACTGCTGAGTTCGTGTTTACCTTTGCTCAAACTATGGACATTTGTAGTCACAGTAAAAAAAAAAAACTCCACTGCTGTGGCTACATTTGTGCTTGTAGCACGTTTTGTAGTGAGTGCTGCAATGTTGAGCTGTGTATCCTGTCATAACCTCTCCCCATGCACAAAGCATTGATCCACACTGCATTGCAGGCTTCTCATACAGCAGTACAGTTATTCCCCTCAATACAGTGGATGTAAAGATAGATTTCACATATTGCTTTCATTAGAGAATACAGGGTTCTTCATAAGTTTGTAAACCTTTGGCTTTTGCTTAATTCTGCTAATTGTTTAGCTTTTCTTGTCATTTGTTGCCCTCCACCGAGAGAATTGTTAATCATGTGAGCAGGTTTTTGATTTCCGCTTCCTAATCTAGTGCTTGTCTATACAGCAAATCATGATGAGAATTTGATTAGCAAGAAGATGATAGTGGGAATGTCACTCTGTTATGAGGTTTACTGTAAAATTATATTTGGCACTCAGTGACTTTGGTCTGCTTTTTTTCTGTCACTGAAGATATTATTGGACTGCTTTTATTATTATTATAGGGCAATACGTTTTATAAATTGTAATATTTGGTGTAGAGACCTATATCTAGTCAGGTACCCAGAGGTATGCAAGATCATCTGTGGGTTTCTGGGGACGGATTATTTTAATGAGAACTGTTCAGGTCTGTAATGTAGTGTTTACTAATCTAGATGTTATAATAAATATACAGAGCAACTAGAAATACCAATTTTACTTGCTAAAACAGTAGTTGTAAGCCATTAGAAGAAGCACAGAAGCCTACATGATGCTAAAGACATTGTTTTTAATGAGGCCCAGAGCAAAGTAAATACAGTGGTACCTCAGTTAACGAACGCTTCTGTTTGTGAACAGTTCGGTTCGCAAACAAGAAGTTTGGCAAAATGTTGCTTCCGTTCACGAACTCCGCATCGGGTGACGAATACAACCGCAGCCATCTTCCCTGCTCTGACACATGGTTGTGGCTTCCTCTAGTCAAGTCCATAATAGAAGTCACCAGCACTCGATGTCACTATGTCGCCCAGAAGAAGGGACCCTGCGTGGCCCAGAAACGTTGGCTGTATGACGCATGTGACGATTTAATAAAACTTCTTTACTTCTTGCACATATCCAGTGCTATTATGGACTGTATCTGACCCGGCGCCATCTGTGTTGTCACTTCGAGCACCAACCTTCAAGTTCTGAACGCTGTATGGAGTGCATTTGACTTCGTATTATTGCTTCCTCTAGTTGAGATCGCGGTCTGATCACAGTTTGATTGAGTTCGCGACCAGAATTGTGGAACAAATTAAGTTCGTGAACCGAGGTACCATTGTACTTTGGCTACTTGCCTGTATTTAGCTTACTTTTCTATTCCATGGAAGCACTCGGGTACTGCTTATTGTGTGTCCTAAGTGCTGTGGGAAGTGTGTGAATACTGCATTCCAAAAGGCCACCAGCTAGGTTGGCTTCTTCATTCTGTACTCTTATCGGCATAGGTTTTTGTGACTGTGATGGGTGTTTGCACGTAGCCATGCTTGCTTGCTTTCTTGCTAGATGGATATAGTCAAATTGTTTGGTCAGGTCTGGCCACCATCTACTACTACCTGTGATATACTTTTCTCCTAGCAGTGCTCCACAGTCTCACCCTTAGCCACCTTCTTTTTCAATATAACAGTTTCCAGTAGTATGTATAACATTCATTGCACTCATGCCCTCAGATACTGTTCACATATGGCACTGGAAAAATATCCTACTTCAAGTATTTCTTTTGGCTCTGCTTTTTAAAGTTATTTTTTTTTGATCTACAACTTGGGTGGTTTAATATCACATGAGCGAAACATAGAAATTTACATTTTTCATACACAGTGCATCTGTTACTGATAGAGACGTAGTCCTATAAACCAGTTTTATTTCTATATTTAGGTATTTGATGATGTAGTCAGCTGACCATCTACATTTTTTTTTTAACATCTGTGTCATTAATAATGGAATTGCTTATTGCATTTTTTTAGTCATTTAAAGCGGACCTTTAAACTCACAAATCTACCAATGCATCCCTCTATGTATGATGATTAATAATAAAATAGACATGTCAGGTGTAAAATGCTGTGACTTACACTTGCAGAGCATTCACTTCCTGCTTTGACAGGGCAAAATGACTTCAGTTTGGCAACGCAATGCTCACTGGGATCGCCTTGTCATCAGCAGAGCATTGCTGGGAAATCTCATCTGTAATCTCACGAGATCTCGGAGAAAGGCATTTCCTCTCCTGAGATGATGTGCGTGGTCACATGTCCTAGTCACATTTTCAGGAAGTAAATAGAGATCCAGTAATCTGCCCTTGGTAAACATGGCCACTGTCAGAAGACTGGGGAAGAAAAGGGAAATACGATATGGAAAGAATACAAAGTTGGCAATTATTTAGAAGTATGTGTTTGTAGATTGTCATTGTTAAACATTTCTAAAGATGTGTTTTGTTGTTAAATTAAAGATATGAGTAAAGGTCGGCTTTAACCATTTTTGTTACAAATGAAAACATTGTATACCATTTACCATCTCTCTTGATTGCAGTGACTGTGTAAATCTTGCTTTCAGTGGAAAATATTAGAAATACTACAAATTGTCCATTCTTTTTATTTGATTTTAGTCATTTTTACTGATTTAAAGCTCATGGTTTAACAAGGGGGATGTTTAAACGGATATTCTAGCAATAGTTTAATTTAATCCTTTGGAGGATCATGTCTTTAGAGAAGTACACTGAGAAATAAGTAATTTCCTCCCTGATTTGATGTGTCTCATTTACCAGAGCCAGCTGTTAGTTGCAATCTGGCACTACACCATACTGCACTACAAAATGTGGCCTATATGCAATGTGGAGGCAGTTAAAACAATGAGGGACACAGCCAGGGCAAGGCCAGATCTCAATTGGCTTTGTAAGAAGGGTAGTTTTTTTTTTTCTTCTAAATATGCAGTGGTAAACAAAATAAGACCTGTCTAGATTATAACTCTCTTATATTTCAACAGACTCATTTGCAATTGAAATTACTTGTACAAATGTTTCCCGTTAATATCAATATCTATTACTACTATGTTAATGCTGTAAAAACTGCTGAAAAATCAGCATTTTAATGTGAGCTTCCAAACCAGAATGAGAGACATTGAGCAGATGTTGAGAGGTTGGATTGTAGGAGCTGAAATGCAGGTGCATCAGTTAAGCAAATGCAAGATCATTTAAAGGGGAACTGTGTTATGCAGCACTGCATAGGAAAAGCATAATCAGGGAGTAATGATGCTGATTAGTCACAGCCAAACATATATTAGGGTTTAGAATTAAAGCCTATTTCCACCTTTTGTGGGGGCATTTTTTAAAAAGAACACATGCCAGCGATGTACATCAAGTGTTCATGAGGCAGCGTATGCAGTTGCTGTATATAAAGACAAAAACTTCCCTTTGTTAAAAAATTTGTCCTCGCCACATTTTTAAAATGGCAGCCCTGTGCAGATTATAGGCATTTGTGCACAGTGGAAAAACTCCTTCCCACAATGCTTTGCTTCCCTTGTGCACGAGCATCCCTCCCTTCATTGATATTCATAGTGGTAACACCTTCTGGGCAGTGGAAAGTGACCTGGAGATTTTTATTTATTTGTTTTTTTACCTGTGTCGACAGTTGGAGGAATATTCTTAACAATTGCTGAAGACAAAATATATCTGAATTCTTTAGCAATCGTGTACAAAAATCCTCCGACTATAGTCACGGATAAAAAAAAATCTCCAGGTCACTCTGCACTATCCCCTAGACAATTTGCTTAATATATATTATACACACACACAGCAATTTGTTGTGGTGACACCCTCCAAATACATGATGGCGGTGCATTAATTACAAAGTACCATGTGATTAATGCATGCTATTGTGCAATGCACCTACAATGCGTTACAGTACATCAGATGAATTGCAATATAGAATGGCACCCTAGCACACCTCCAGGCCACAATGCACTACCATGCAGACCAACGCATGGTACCACGATACCGTGCAGTGGAAATGGACTACTTTTTTTTCCTCTGCACCACAACACACGGTATTGCTGTACCACGCAGTGACAATTTTGACCCCCTCAAAATCTATAAGGGCCCGTTTACACCTATGCATTGCAATAATTGCACTGTACTGTGTAATTTAGGCAAGCTAACACACAACACGGGTACCATGAGTTACAGTACGTCAGGTGCATTGCAATTCATTTGAAAGTCATGCCATTCCACCTCCCATCTGCAGTGTGCTGCTGGGAAGTGCAATGTGTGGTACCACAATACTGTGCAGTGGGGAAAAAACAGTGCATGCACTACTTTTTTCACTGCATGGAATTGTGCTGGCAGTGCATTGTGAGTCCATTCAAATAAAGGGCAACACACCTGCCCCACTAAGGTAGGTGTGTTGCTAAATAGCATGCATTAATCGCATGGTACTGTGACAATCAGGGCCCATTCACACCAAAACCGCATGTAAAGTGCACATGCATTTATGTGCATTTGCACTTTTTGGAGGAGGGAAAAGCACCATCACTCCTAGTATTGAGAGATGTGTTGTGTTGCATTTAGAAGCAGCCTGGCTTCTTTTTTTCAAAACACAACACAGTGTGAACTACACTGTTGAAAACCACTATTTTGTGTATATCTGTTTTTAATGTATTCAAAAATGCTTCAAAATGCATTGGGTTGGAATGGGCTCTAAGGCGACGCATAGGTGTGAATGGGCCCTGGACGCAGAGTATAGATTAGTCTTTCATTTCAATCATGATATTGTACAATTTTTCTGTATCAGGCCTGGTGGCATCAATTTTGCCACAGAAATGTTAGAGGTCATTAAAGCGGTCATTACATGCATTCAAGTACCTGAACTATTAACAAAAATGTATCTTATTTGTGTTTCACTCGGCTGTAGATCCTCAAATCATCTCTGAATTCATATTGACACTGTCCTTCCTCCTGGAGGGTGGCTACTTTTATTCCCCATGGTCCTTTTGTGTGTTGTAAAGTAGTCACCACCCCAAGCTCACTCCTGTGATGGACTACAATCTCAATACAAATTAGTAAACTAAGTGCAAGATTCTAGTCCATCACAGGAGCGAGCTTGGACTATAGAAGGAAGGACAGTGTCGGCACCAATTCAGAGATGATTTGAGGATCTACAGCCCAGAGATGCACGAATAAGATACATTTATGTTAATAGGTGAGGCACCTAAATGTATTTTTAAGATTTAACTCCTGAGTTTAGTGCCACTTAAGGTGAAAAAAAAATCTAATTTGTATCATTTTTCAGTTAGGAAGTAGTTAAAATACATGAATAGGTAAATCGGCTAGGTAAGCTTGCGTCTTAGACTTTTATCTTTTGTATTGATTGTAGTGCCTATATTAATTTATCTTTGTCTTTTCTAGCTGGCGTTGTATGTTCTATCCTTTCTTGAGCCTAAGGATCTCCTTCAAGCAGCACAGACGTGTCGGTACTGGCGAATCCTGGCTGAAGACAACCTTTTATGGAGGGAAAAATGTAAAGAAGATGGTACGCATCTACATCTGTCAGATGGCAATTTTGAATGTCATGCTGTGGAGATAATGTTTATTTAGGTCATTTCTTATTCCCTTACATTTGCCCCTACATATCTCTTTTTAGGTATTGATGAACCTTTACATATAAAGAGAAGGAAAGTGCTAAAACCAGGTTTCACGCACAGTCCATGGAAAAGCGCTTATATTAGGCAGCACCGAATCGATACTAACTGGCGACGAGGTGAACTTAAGTCCCCAAAGGTAAACTTTGCCAATCTGTATGCATTTTAGCATGTGATATGCTTATTGTGCATTTCTTGTTGATAAAAGAATACTAGACATTAGGTCTGCGTTCCAAAAATGATATCTGGAATCTGTTTGCTTAACCGTAAGCGTTTCTTTCTTCAGTTCTAGGAATTGAACAGACTTAAATAAAGATACATTTAAGAACTTTTTTAAAAAGTCAGCTTTTGTAATATTACATTGCAATAATGTATGATCTACTGTTATCTGTCCTGTGCATAATTGGTGTTTTAACATGGCCAGAGGAAGCATCAAAGATTCAGTCAAATCGACTTAGACATCTCGGCTGTTAACTCTGTTTTGTGCACAACAAATAAAATCCAGAGAAACATTACAGAACAATAGTGATCAGTACACATCAGGACGTGTTTAGAGGCTCTGTTCTTTAGTTCTTACAGTTAAAAAAGGTTTGTGTGCTTAGATGGGGATTTTTGTTTCAATTTCACAAGAGTAGGATTTATGCTATGATGCGTGACCATCTTCTTTCTTTTTTATAGGTGCTGAAAGGTCACGATGATCATGTAATTACATGCCTCCAGTTTTGTGGTAACCGAATAGTTAGCGGCTCTGATGACAACACTTTAAAAGTTTGGTCAGCAGTTACTGGAAAGGTAAGCTCACAAGTTATAATATGTGTGCCTCTGTCATTTATCATGCCTTTACCAATGTATTGTATTTTTGCCAGGGAAATGGGAGTGCTATGCAGGGGATTATGGCCTTCCTGAATGCACCTGTGTAAAGTGGGTTCAGTAGCAGCCATGTCTGGTCATTTGATGATGACTCGACTCTGGCTCCCTGTGCGGTTGTCTCACTACAGTCATAAACTACCAGCACAATCTGGCTCAATATTCCTGGCCAACTGTTTTGCAGCAGTAGGTAAGAACCTTTGGTGAAGGCACTTCTGGACATGTGTTTTTTTTTTCTCTCCAAGTTTTGCCAGGTAGTAGAACAGCTTACTGATTTTTCTTGTGGCTGCATAAACTTAAAATGATTTCTGTAGGGATCAGATACTATATGTGCTGCTGCAGTGTTTCTGCTCCATTTCACAATCTGCTTTGACAGGAGGGATTACATAGTTGTTACAGTATTTCATTTGCAGTATGTGCCAGCTTGTTAACTGGGTCATCTGGCCTGCAAATTCCAGCAGTGCTGAAATATTTGGCTTTACAGCACAGATGGTAGGAGCCAATGTATCGTTAGGCAGCCATTGTGATTTTAAATTTTTCTACTATCGATCCACAATAATACAATTATGTTTGTTTAAGCCATATATAATACTCGGAAGCCATGCTCCTGAAGGTAGCTGGAACCTCTGTCTTTATTCTTAGGCTGCACTGTGAAGCCCTGTCTCTGGCTTGTAATAAAGTGCCTTAGGGGTGTAGAGAATTCAGCTACTCCCTGTCTTTCCACATTCTTCAGCATGAGCTGCTCCCATAAAAGAGTGTACAGATAGATAGTGCCTGATTTCATTACAGAGAAACTCAAGTCTTTCATGTTATGTGGGATTAGTTTAATTAGTCCTCCATAACCAATATAGAAAACCTTCAGTTCCTTCAATTGTGCATTGGTCCTGGTTCCTGTCACACCCATAGCCTTTCATTCAAATGAAAGCAGTGCATCTGATCCCTCTTCTGGCAGCAGATGTAACATTGATGAGATGAGTAACATTTTGTGGCATTTTTACTTTGTTCCCTCATATACAACAGATTGTATTACTGTAGAGTAACACAAGCAGTTGAGTGGCAGCATAGTTTAAAAGAGGATAATACTGCATTCCATAAATGTATGTGTCTTATGATTTCCAAATCCACTTTAATAGTTCTTGTGTCACCATAACTACAGTGTTTCTGCACTGTGCTTTCTAAGGCCCCTTTCACATGGGCCGATCAGGAGAGGATCCGTCAACAGATCCTCTCCTGATCAGAGCAGTACTGAGTGGATGTTACCACTGTGACATCTGCGTCCATACAGCAAAGAAAATGGGTTGGATCTAACCTTAGGATATTTTTTTATTGTGATCACTCAGTAGGGTTGTATATTGTTATATCATTCAGCGTTCTTACAGAATCTCTGCTTGCCTGTTTATTACACTAAGAGAAGCTTTAAATGAATGTTATACAATTATTAGTAATTATACATGAGGCCTACTCCCAGGCGATTGCACATTCTTTTTATAATAAGCACTATAAAGTTCAAACTCGAAAGGAGACTTGATAATAAAAGTCCTGTATGAGGAATATTGCAGCAAAAATATCTTAGTGAGTCATGAATCCTGGTTATAAATAAGTCTGTTGTATAGTAAGTCGCTGGGCAACAGGTTTGTGTCACAGCTGTAACATGCAGTGGGCTGGTTTGACTTGAAATCAGTACCCAATAATATGCTATGTGGGTGTTTAAAGGACGATTGAGTTGAATAATAACATGGAGAAACAATGGTTTAATTGCACTCCTCTGATAGATTACCCAACAAGATCAAGTGTAGATAACACGCCCAGATGTGCATGCATTGACTATTTGTTATACTCCCAAGCTTTTTTTCCAAATGAATGAAATTATATCTGATATTTATAGCTGTCCTAGTTAATTATCATATATTTTGTATGCTATACGTATTAGTCTAGCTGCAATTAATTGCAAATGCATCAAATCCCAGGACCAAAAAAAAAATATTGGTGATGCGTTTTGAATATTCCAAAAATGCAACAGAAGTCAAAAGCACATTAAAGCGATTTTAAGATAACGTCAAAATCCCTCAAAGCACAACATAGTGATGCTGGGGGCAAAGTATCATGACTCCGTGCAGTTACATGTTGAAGTGTGGAAGCTCTGTTTTCATCTGATATTTTCGCTCTTCCTTTGAGACAGTATGTATTGAATTACTGAGTATGCTTCTCAGAGTTTCTGCAGCTTAATTTTGTGAATGCTTCTGCCGTCTCTTTACAGTGTCTGAGAACGCTGGTTGGACATACGGGTGGTGTCTGGTCATCTCAGATGAGAGATAACATCATTATCAGCGGTTCCACAGACAGAACGTTAAAAGTATGGAATGCAGAGACTGGGGAATGTATACACACACTATATGGGCATACCTCCACTGTGCGATGCATGCATCTACATGAAAAAAGGTTTGTTGTCTCTTTTTTGTTTTCTTCCTTTTATTAAAATATAGTTACTTTAGTTTTATCCAGATTCATTTGAAACTTTTGAATGTAAGAAGAAAAGTGTCAATGTTTTATTTGTTTCTTAGATTGAGTGCTTGTGTTATAAGAAATAGACTTTACTGCACGTAATTACTTTATGTAAATGATTTACCTATCACAAGCTGTGTGATATTTTTACTCCTTCATCCCATATATGCAATAGTAGGTTAAAATGTGAGGAATAAGCGTGCCACTGTTGGTCTTTGATGAAAGTGCTGTTTATACCATATAGTATCTACACCAACATGCTAGGGTTAACCATAGACAGTTCAATTTTCTCTTTTTCAGCCAGCGGGCAAAATTAGAGAAATGACAGGATGTTGTCACTGTTTGGCTGATCATTTTCCACCCAGCTCATTTGAGTTATCAGTTGACTTTGGTTGTGCTTGCAGGCCCACACACACAGCAGTAATTGGCCAAAGTTTAAGCTGTCTATTGCTTAACTCTGTAACATCTATGTGTACCTTATTTACCTTTTTAGTGTAATAAAGGGCAGGTGTAGGTACCACAGATTCTACTTTGGTGGTTTTTATAGGGTACACTCTCCTCTATCCTAGCAACAAAATGGATGTATCGCTGCACCCTCTCTGGTATTGTTTACATTATGTCAACATTTGTATTGTCAGATTCATTTAGTTTACCAATCTGTTTTGTTGTCATTTACTCTGTAAAATGGAAAGCCAGGTCAGCAGTAAAATGTGAGACAATATCTTCCCACTTGTGTTATTGGTAGCCTCAGGAGAAGAAGGCAGGAAATGATTTGTAACTAGGATTCCATATTTATGCCAGTACTGCT